TATATATATATATATATATATATATATATATATATATATATATATATTTGCTTCAGAGCTTGACGATTGTTAATTTGGATCCTGCCTTCAAGACTAAAATAAGTTCTCTGCAGAGTTGTTATCTTTGAATAGCTGCAGTATGTGCAGAACAAACTCATGTGCCCTCACCTTGGCTTCAGGGTCACTGTTAATGCTGCTGGAATCTTCCTCTTCCACGGGAGCAGGGTTTCTAAACACAGCCACACACACAGTCAGAAGAGGTATATACATTTTCATCTCACCTTACTGTTATTTTTTTCTCTCTTTCATTTATTTGTATTTATTTGCTTTCACACCGTAGCTTGAGGGAGGCGTAGCGGAGGGTTGCGCCTTCAAACTCTTTCAGACTGGGGTCAGGGTTTACTGTGGCTGCCTGTAGATCCTGAAGCAGAGAAAAGGCAGAGTTGCTTAAACATGAGCACACAAACATATAGCAAACCCACAAATGTACAGTGCAGAGATCACACCAAACAAAACAGGAAAGCACAGTTCCGGCGATGAGTGATTAAACAAACTGAAATGAAAATGATTAACCAGTTTTAAAACAGACACAGTGTGAACCCTGTGTATTTTACAAAAGGGATGGATTAAGAAAATGAAAAGAAATGAAGAGTGATCAAGAGCTTTCCTGCAATAACCAACATACAGTGCAAAAATCATTTTCTTAATCAGTATTAAAATATCTAAATGCATAACTGAATAAATAAAGTGTAAGAATTAGATTTTAAGTTTGTTTCTGAATTTAGATTTATGCTTAAATCAAGAAAAAAATATTTGGCAAAAGTGTAAGAAAAATACATTTAGTTAGATAAATTATTTCTGCAGTGCAGACAGACAAAATAACACAAAAGCCATGCTGAGAAGAAAGGTTAAAGGTCAAAAGGTAAGGAAGGTATGAAGCAGCACAGGATCTCAGAACACAACTACGCCAGTAGAACATCTACAGGTAGAGCGCCCTTTCTTAGAATTTTTTTTTTTAAATAATGCAAAATGCATTTGCAAAATATGGGCTAAATATTTACAAAAAAATGTAAATTTTAACCCTGTGAAAAACATCAAGTTTTGACAGTAGTTTCCTGAGACATTCTACTGTGTATTTGTCTCTGCAGTTCAGTAAAAAACTGCCTGAGATACTAACCTTCCAGATCTCACTATCAATCTTTCCCACAGCAAAATCACTCCATGGCTGTTTCTGCACCATTATTCACACACAAACGGGGAGGACAAGGTTGAGGGGTCAAGGATGGGAGGGTGGAGAGAGACAAGACAGGGTTGTTAGATCACTCGGCAAGCATGTGTGTGTGTGTGTGTGTGTGTGTATACAGTATATGGCTGTTCAGTGTTTGGTTGTGATCTTATTAGATGCAGTATGGATGTTGATATCTGACTCTATGTTGCAAGAATCAAAGGATAGCACAAATTATTTTTCCACTACATTCTGAGAGTAAACAAGTGTTATTGTTACCTTGTCCTCTTCCCGATGTCGTGCCTCAGAGTGTCTATCCTTGCCTGGCATTATCTGTAGGGATGAGGACCGAGGCTATGCACACACACACACACACACACACACATAGTTTTAGCTTTATTATGTATGACCAATATCAATACAAATTTCAGAATATATTTACATTTGACAATACAATATACACAACAGTTCAAAAGTCAGTCAAATTTTTAAAAAGAAATTAATACTTTTATTCAGCAGGGATGCTTTAAATTGATTAAAAGTGACAGTAAAGACATGAATAATGTCTATTTCAAATAAATACTGTTCTGTTCATCAAAGAATCTAAAGAAATATTAAATATATGTAACACATATAAATTAGTGCTGTCAATTGATTAAAAAAAATTAACTAATTAATTGCACATTTTTTCTGAAATTAATCGCGATTAATCCCACCTAACAATAAAGTTTTTAAATATACTTTTATATTGCAATAATTTCACATTCAGTCTTCAAATGAATGTACAAACAACATAAAGACAGTATATTTTTAATATTTGTTTAATGGCATACTTTGACTGAAGAAGGACAGTATCACTGATACCAATACTACTGATGTCTCTATAAAATAGTTTTTTTCCCAATATTTAACCATTGATTGACTATAGCCATTCAACATTACAGTATAATTGAGAGCTATCAATTTTAACATTTATTAGACTTGAAAAAATAACTTCAAGAGATTGAAGAGCACGCGCTGCGAGCACAGTACAGTTTGACTCGCGCCTGTCGCTGAAGTGAAGTGGCGCGCGTGTCTGAAACATCTCCAGTTTGATGTAGTCGTAAAGAAGTTCTGGAGCTGAATAAATGCACTTCTTGTCAAGAAAAAAAAGAGACTCAACCCTGGCTCCACCCCTGCGTTAATTGCATTAAATCTTTTTAACGCATTAAATGAAAAAATTAATCGCATGCGTTAACGTGCTAATTTTGACAGCACTAATATAAATAAATATTAACATGGAAAGCAGTTATTTTAAATGTAATAACACTGTTCCCTTTCATGGGAACTTCGAACTGCGTCCTCTAGGGGTCGCTATGGGGGACGCCTCGTCGTGACCCGTGTCTGAAGCATACATTGAAAAAACACCAACTCATAATTCTGTTTTTTCTGTATTTTTGGTCAAATAAATGCAGCCTTAGTGAGCATGAGACTTCTTTCAGGATTTTTTTTTTTTTTTTAATCTATTGACCCCCAAATGTTTGAATGGTATTTTCATAATATTCCAATTAAATTTGCTAGAAATTCACCAACAAAACTGTTTATATTTTACAAGACAGTGACAAAAAAATAAGTCATATTAACCTAGTAAAATTTGATTTTGATTTAAGAAGTCAACTGAAAAGTCTTCTTTTGTTCAGTTATTCAGTAGCACATTGCCATTTTGAAACAAACAAAACCATGTGAGGTTCTGTTAACCTTGCTTCATTTTATGCTGCAGCAAAAAGCATAGACTCAAAGGGCCAAAAAGAGATTCAAGCCCACTAATAAGGACAGGAGTAATTTAAATAAAAATGAACCAGACTGTTAAGATACATTGATATGCATGTTTGTTCAGTTTCATTTATCTAATAAGTTCTTTAATACATCTGAAAAAAATAGTTGATCAAATAATAACGGCTGATAAAATTCACCATTCACCAGCCACTGTGTCTGGTGGGCGATAACATTAATTTCTCATCCTGGTTGCACGGTAAACACAGTCATAGCAACCTGTAACTATATTAAGCATTTACCCAGCTCCGTTTAATCCATGGCGACTGAAGTACTGTCACATCTGTAATAGCATTTCCCTCAATTTTCTTTTTCTTTTATGAACAGTTTGTGAAGTTTGTGTCTTATCCATTTATTCTCCACAACCAAACTGTACTCATTGTGAAAGCTAAACACCCAGACAATGGAAGGATATGGCCATAAAGTATTGTCCATACTGTAAAATGGGAGGGAGATTGATGAAAAGACTTACAAAGTAGCAGCTGTTGACAAATCCACAGGAAGGAACATTGCCGTCAGAGGATGAGGAAGAGTTTGAGGACAGGATAGGGGTAGGGTCCAGACATGAAGAAGACGGGATGGGGGCGGGGTCACACGAGCTGTCGGAAGTGGTGCTGCCTGAACGACTCGAAGCTCCGAAAAATATGTCGGCATGAGACATCGACTAAAGCACAACAAAGAGGTACAGAGAAAATGATTGGTCAATGTGGATAAATCAACTGTTGATTTGTTTTATGTCCAGTTTACGTAACAACATGGTTTCAAAGGATTACCTCGTGATCTGGAGTGGGCGAGGGAGACAGGGAGCCCAGGGAGTGTTTGCGGCTGGCATGGCTGGGTCCAGTTGGCACCGGATGGCATGGGGCGGGTCTCTCCCACTGTGTGGTGCCCGTTGGAATGTGCCAGTAATAAATACCAGCCATGTCTGTCATCATCTTCCATCCTGGAGGCAAATCGGGGTCTGTCTGAAATGACTGCTCCCCCCAGATATCTGTAAACACAAATACACAAGGTCAGGTGTGGTCCACACACCCGTCAACCAAGATATCCAAGACTCCTACGAGTGGGTGTTATGACCGAAACCTTGTATCATGGCATGAGTAATTTTAAAACATGGTATGTTTCAGCATACAAGAGTTAGTTCTGGTATTCTAACCTGAATGCGAACAGTGTTCCAAGAGTGTTGATATATAGTATAACAACATTAGGATATTATACTGTTTGTATTAATTTGCATGTCTGTGTTCTCGGTAGAGAGGTGTTGCAATATACCTGTATTGACGATAACCAAGATATTAAAAAAATTAAGTATTAATATCCTGTTAATACTGGACATACAATAATATCGTAAATAGTTCAGTGTCAGTGCCATCTGGTTGACTCTCCAACACAGTAAGTGGCGGTATTGCACCTTAAAGGGATAGTTCACCCAAAAATTCTGTCATTAATTACTCACCCTCATGTCGTTCCAAACCTGTAAGACCTTCGTTCATCTTCAACACAAATTAAGATATTTTTTATATGCAACGACATGAGGGTGAGTAATTAAAGACAGAATTTTCATTTTTGGGTGAACTATCCCTGTAATGCTGGTTACCACCTATCAGAAGATGGATGAAGTGTGTAGCTATTACTGCTGCACAAAATCATGTTGGTGAAGATGACAGGCAAAATTGAGACTCTACCCGTACCCAAAAAAAAAGTTGCTTGCAATTGTGGGAGTTCCATTGGATCCTGGATGTTAGCCACCCCAGTCTTTAGAAAGGGGGCGAACAACAGTAAGTACTTTTTGTACGCTTCTGTACTACACAGTCATAGTTATTTAAACTCACTGCTTCCTTACACTCATATTTTAAATGTGATTTATTTGCTGGGATAAAAAACACAAAATAAAGATGAATTGGACTGATAGCTTTTTTCAATCAAAATTTCTATACACAATATAGATAATATCATTATTGTGAATTCTTTTGGCCACAATAATCATGTAGTAAAACCTGATATTGTGACAGCCCTAGTTCACGGCATTCCAGACCAGAGTATGTGAGCGCTAGTGACTGAACATGTGGTAATGGGCAATCAAAGTAATTAAATACTTTATAAATAAAGTTAAATACATTTTTTTATTTTTTTTCCCTAATATTTGAAATTGCCCAGCCAGTCTCCCAATATATGGATGTTTGGTTACACTTTACTTGAAGGGGTGTGCATAAGCCTGACATGACACTTTCATAATCATGACATGACATCTACATAATCATGACATGACACAAGTCATGAATATGAAGGTTTTTTTATGCATGTTTATGACAACTGTCATTAAGTATCATTCGCTCAGTTATGTAATTTGTAATGCAAAGATAACATTGTTTGAGATGTCTTTGTTGTGGGTTATGGTTAGGGGTAAGGGTAGGGGTAGGGGTAGGTTAGGGTTAGGTCAAATAATGTCATATTTGCATTAAAAATGACATAACTGAGCGAATGACACTTAATGACAGTTGTCATAAACATGCATAACCTCCTTCATATTCATGGCATGTGTCATGTCATGATTATGAAGGTGTCATGTCAGTCTTATGCACACCCCTTCAAGTAAAGTGTTACCGGATGTTTCAAGCAGCAACCAAATAATTAAAACTGCTGAAGTCTAGATAAGGAGTCACTATGGGATATGAGTGCTCTGTAATACATTGTTGCTACCATGAATAGTTTATTTATTTATTTATTTTTTATCTGTCTCTCTCACATGAAGTTGCTACTGTTCTGTCTGTCCTCACTCAGCAGCTGGGAATGTTTTTTTAATGTTTCAGATGCTAGTAAGAGCATTATTCATACAATGCAATCTGGATGAGGAAAACCACACACATATACACAGTAAACCACTGCAGTCTGTTACTCACACATATGCTGAACAGATTCAAGCCAGGAAACATGTCCTCACCAAAACCATGAAGCCGCGACATTCTGTGTGTGTGTGTGTGTGTTTAAAACAACTCTACAGAGATTCTCAAAGGACTTTGTGTCAATCTACACGACACTTCCAGAAAATGAATATAGTTAAAAAAAAAAAAAACTAACACTGTATAATAACCAGCTAGGAAACAAGTCATAAAATCTCTTTCATATTCTAAGCTGATGCACTGTTGATTTTTAGGCTTTCCTGCTGATTACCTTTATATCCCCGACTGCACAGTATGCAAAATCAGTATGTCAAATGAGACAGATGACCGAATACTCATGATACAGCTGTGTATTGCATCTGCTAAGATCCTTAACTATACAGAAACTGGACACTTTGTATCCCATTAGGTCACAGCGACTATTCAATTCGAAAAGGTCATAAAAACAATGCAGGAAAGTGTAAGTGTACATGCTATAGGTACTAAGAAAGGTGTTCCTTATGGTGTTCTTAAACAACACCATAATAATTGTAATATCGTAATTTGTTGAAGGTCACACAGGTCAAAGGACAATGTCAACATGGTGGATGTACGGAGAATCACTCTGGGTTGCTCCACTCATAATGAAATCTCATTAGTCTAAAATCCCCCTCCACATAGCACAAATGTTGGCTGTGAATTCACTTTAATTGTCAATATAAAAGTAACTTGTGGCTGGAAACTTGTCTGAATAATACATGGTAATCTGTCAATCGAAAGGATTTGAGTAAAAAGAAAACATTCAAATTTTGATATTCTATCAGAAAAGATGCGGTCAGATTTACTTCTGTTCATCAAATTTTTGCAAGTGAAATCAGCTCATTTCAGTAGGAATCCACATGCAGGTTTTGACCAACAGACAGCTGCTTGGTTTGAAAGTGACTTTTGTGTGAGCTGTGTTTCAAACATAACTACATTATTGACAACAATCTTGATTTACACGGTATATGAATCCAATAAAAATGTGTAAAATTAAATAATTTCTATAAAATCACCAAATAATATGAGCAGATAACAAGTGTTGTTTTAGTATCTCTGAGATACAGTTGTACTTTTTATCAATATTTAAATGATTTCCCCTATTTCCATTTTAGTCATTTGTGAGTTTTGTCATTTTTATTTTTTTAAACACCTTTATAGTTTTTATACATTTTTCTTTCAGTTGTAGTTAGTTATTTTAGTAGCCAAGATCAAGTTCAACTAAATGAACCTTGGCAACTAGCTAAAATAATCAATAATTATTTTTTTTAATTTTATTTTATTTCAGTTAATATTTTTTTTCTTTAAAGTAACAAAAATGTTTTTATTAATTTAGTTTTAGTTAACTATAATAACCCTGTAAATAACATGCTGAGGAAGAAAGCACGAGTCGAGTAGCCTCACTGTCGCTTTAAGGCATGACTCACTTCAATGAGACTTAATAATTAGCCAACAGAACTGACTAACTGAGTGAAACAGCTATTAGCCAGCACTAGCCATGTACAGCAGATCTAATCTCCCAGTATGCAAAGTGAACACAAGTTCTTATTAGAGACGTCTCCTGCACCCAAGTTCTCTTTCAGTAAGACGATCAGGCACTGCAGTACAGGAACTGTAGTGTTCTTTAATACTGGGTATCATGCTGAGGTGCATTATGGGACTTGTAGTCCCTAATATATAAGTGGGTCACCACAGCTGCCTGAAAACCTCATTACAGTTCAATGAAACCCTTATACAGATTCAAATACAAAGAAATAGAGACAACAATCAGGTTGATGCTTAATAACGGTCTGGATTTTTCAGCTATTTTTTTCCAGGTAGACAGCATGCTAGCATATAGTAACTATCCTCAGCCTAGATCTAAACATTCGACCCACTTTTGATAACGTCTCTCTCTTTCTGCAGTCTATAAAGCATGTGGCGAGCAGAGGGGGAGGGGAGGACAGCTGTAAAATTCACGCACACTCGCGGACCGAAGTGCCATGAACATATGCACAAACTTTAGTATTCAGCACACAGCTCGTGACACCCTTCACTGCATCCTTCCTCCTTCCTTATCTCTCTTCTCCGCCTGCATTTATGAGCATGCACATGCAACGGAGATGCGTAGCTACATGCGCAGCACTGACTCACAGCCACACAGACACACCGACGCGCAGTACCTACCCTCGTAATTCACTATAACAATGGCCAACATGTAGTCTTTACCCAGCATCATGACTGAGCAGCCGCAAGCAGAGAGAATGACATGAGAAGAGAGAGGAAAGCAGAGGCAGAGCGGGAGAGGGACAGAGGGGGCGAGTGACTGATGGAGAAAGGGAGAGGGAGAGACGGGGTGGGTGAGCATGAGAGAGCAACAGACTCTGTTTATTTACCTACCCTCGTAATTCATTATAACAATGGCCAACATGTAGTCTGTACCCAGCATCATGACTGAGCAGCCGCAAGCAGAGAGAATGACATGAGAAGAGAGAGGAAAGCAGAGGCAGAGCGGGAGAGGGACAGAGGGGGCGAGTGACTGATGGAGAAAGGGAGAGGGAGAGACGGGGTGGGTGAGCATGAGAGAGCAACAGACTCTGTTTATTTACCTACCCTCGTAATTCATTATAACAATGGCCAACATGTAGTCTGTACCCAGCATCATGACTGAGCAGCCGCAAGCAGAGAGAATGACATGAGAAGAGAGAGGAAAGCAGAGGCAGAGCGGGAGAGGGACAGAGGGGGCGAGTGACTGATGGAGAAAGGGAGAGGGAGAGACGGGGTGGGTGAGCATGCGAGAGCAACAGACTCTGTTTATTAGCTGTTTATTTTTTGTCCAAATCTTGCAGGAAGAGAGATATCAGCTTCCTGTCCATCCGGGACACCTGATTAGTCACACGGCTGTGCAAAGCCACCTCCCTTGCCGAACACTCGGTCACTCCGGCAACCCTGAGATAATTTTTCCTGCAGTGTCACCTAACACATGGTCACGTGACCTTGGTATGACAAGATACAAACAACGGTGGGAAAGGGATGGATGTGCAAGAGTTAGTGTGCTGTGGTGATGCCAGCTAACATCTGGGTGTAAAACCAGTTTGCAGCTGTCCATTACCCACCATGCTGGCAGAACGGACCTGCCACACACCTGTGAGGTTTTCCTGTCTGGTGAGAGAGATTTTGACAGACACTGTGTCAATGGTAGACTGGTTTGAGTGACAGTCCGGGGGAAGAGAGGAGACTTATCACCACAGAAACAGCCATTTTGACTCATCACAAGAAACTCTGCACCATTTATCCTAGGCATAAACTTCATAGGTTGCAAAGCCCCCCCCCCCAAATAAAAATTATTGAAGCACCCTCATGTCGTTCCAAACCTGTATCATTTTTCTTCTGTGGAACACAAAAGGAGATATTTTGAAGAATGTTGATGCTGCTCTTTTCCATACCGTAAAAGCACATTTACATGCAGTTATGATAACAACAGCTGCATAGTCAAGCTATAGTCTTCTTCTGTCTAAGCATACATATTGTGTAATAATATGCAACTGAATATTTTACAGATTAAATACACATCATTCATACAGTTGCATTATCTAGTGGCGCTTTTCCACTGCGTGGTACGACTTGGCTCGGCACGGCTCAGTACGGCACGGCACGGCACGGTTCGGCTCGGTTCGGCACGGTTTGCGTTTCCACTGCAGTTCAGTACGTTCTGTTGTTTGTGTCGCAAGTTCAGTGACGCAGGTAGTGACGATTTTCTCCGGCCAATCCGTGATCAGCAGAGTTTATACGTCACATTTTGGTAACGGTACGGTTCACTTGGAACCCCAACCGAGGTGGTACTAAAAAAAGTACCAGGTACCAGGTACTGTACCCAGTGGAAAACCCCCCAAAAGTGAACCGTACCGAGCCGTACCGTGCCGTACCATGCAGTGGAAAAGCGCCATAGGTCTGCTATTCCATTTCGACAACTGAAATCAGACACTTACCAGTAACCACGGAGAGGGCAACATGGTGGATGTAGTACATTCAGATTTCAGAACCACTACACGCATTCATACTATATACAACATACTAATGGTCGCAAAGAAGTACCTAGTCAGAGAGTATGCGATTTCAGATGCAGCTATAGCTTTGCAATAAATTTGTATGAGGAACTGACCAATTTAAAGGGATAGTTCCTCCAAAAACTAAAATTCTGTCATCATTTATTTGCTCATGTCATTCCAAACCCAAAAGACTTTTGTTCAATATCGTCAAGTAAGCATGTTTGGGTTTTTGTTTACCATATTTGATGTTCTCTGTGTATGTAAGTTGAATGATCAATCTTTACATGTCAATAAAAGCCTAAATTAAATCTGTTATATAAAATTATCATGTCTCATTAAAAGACTTGGAACAAACCACTTGATTCATGTAGATTATTTTTACAATGGCTTCATGAACTTTTTGATGCTTTAAAGTTTTGGTGGAATGGATTTTCAATGGAAGGAAAGAAACCTCCCAGGTTTCATTTAAAAATATCTTAATTTGTGTTTTAAAGACAAATGAAAGTATGTGTTTGGAATGACATGAGGGCTAGTAAATGAAGACAGAATTTAAATTTTTGGGTGAACTAATCCTTCATGTCACAGAAAATCACTCACTGCAACTCTCAGATCTCAACTGTGACCTTTATTTCTACATTCTTGAGCTTGATAGCCACTTGTCACTGTCCACTTTCATTATATGGAAAAGAGCAGAGTGAACATTCTGTTCAACTTCTTATTTTGTGGTTTTATTTTGGAATAACATTAAAGAGAGTAAATGATGACAATTAGAATTTTTGGATGAATTCTACCTTTTTAAAACTACATTTTCAATTTATAATTACAAAAGGTACACACAATAGTAAACATGCTTTTAACAAGCTTTGCTCCACAGCCTCAAACCAGAGACACACTGTGCTGCGTTTACCTAGATCACACTTCAGTGACGTGAAATGTCCAAACACACAAACACCTCTCTGCCAACGCACTTCAGTCAATCTGAAAACCACACATACCACATGAGTGCACCATATCCACTACACTGGGCCAAAACACACACACACACACACAAAACCACACTGAGGAGACCAGCAAGCATCGCAACACTTTGAATGTGTACTACTGACCGCTCTCTTCTGGTGAGCCCAGTGATGCACTGTCCTGTGACAACGTGGTCCAGCTGGACTCCTCGTCACTGTGTGGAAGGTTCTGGATGCGGTTTAGTGCCCGGTCTGTCTTGGCTCCCGTCCGTGGTCGGTCTTTTTTCGTCTCCGGTGAGGAAGAGGAAGATGAAGAGCCGACAGACAGGAGGGGCGTGTCCTCAGGGCTGTGCGGTTTACTTGGAGACGAGGGACAAGGATTCTTCTCTTTCTCCAGCAAAGGCTTAGTGACATCCTCATCCTGCGCGTCAGACAATTCATACGACAGGTCATCCAGGCACGACTCCAGGCAACTCTTGGTTTTAAGGTGCTCGGGTGACTTCCTGTCTGAAACAATCTCCGTTTTCTCAGACAGAATGAGCAGGTCATCACAATTCTCCACAAGATCCTCCTCATTAGTGTCCTCATCAATTAACTCATTTACTTCCTCGTCAACAAGCTCGTTGTTCGGGTCAAAGTCACTGTGAACGTCGTCGACGTTAGACTCGCTGTCGAGGCTTAAATCCTCAACATTCCTCAACTCATCATCGATGTTGAGCTCTGATTCGCCAGCTGTGTTTCCATCTTCGTCTTCTTCGGTGGTGTTCTTGTTGTGATCCTGTCGCTCTGCAGCTTTACGTAACTGATTTGCACCATTTTTGGCCAGTTTAGGGTTGGCAGTTGTCGCTGAAGATGACGAAGGTGGTATCATGCCTTCGCCCAGTCCCATCGCACTCTGAATGCTTGTGAGTGCGTACTTCTTCCGGCACTTTGGGGGTGTGGCCTGGCCCTGTTTGATGACATCACCACTAAGCAGTTGATTGTGTGAGGAAAGCAGGCTGAGGGAAGTGGGTGGAGTTGCAGAGGGCCCGTTGTGATTGGCTATGTCCACAGAGGGGGAGGGGTTACATGGCGAGGGCACGCAGACTGACATCATGGCTAAAGTTAGAAAAAGTGAAAAAGCAGTCAAAATCACACATAAACGGTGCTTTAAACAATACAAGAGAAAAAGTAAAAAAATGTCAAACATTTTTTTAAAAATCAATGCAAATATTTCTAATTTTTTTTCTAATAAATATTTTAAATTTATTATTATTTTTAAACTATTCATTATTTAATTTATCAAACTAAAGCTGCATTTTGAAATGCAAATTTAAAGCTCTTGTTTTTGTCCAGTGGTTGATTGACAGATGGGTAAGTGGCTTGTCGCTGTTGGTTAGGACACGTCAGGACAGATTAAATGTAAACGGGGTCAAAGAAACCAATTTTAAGCAATGTGAATTAACATCAACATGTGCATCACCTAGAATTTTCTTTGATTAAACGTGAAGGAATATAAAAATATGATAATACAGCAGATAGATCCGACACTGGGACTGAATCAGCAATGACATTCATGAAAAGCTTATTTGTCTTCGCTCAAGCAGCTCTGCAGACTGTGCTGCTTCTGTGCTACCAAACTGAATTACCACATTTAAAATCAACTTAATCTGATGGGAATTGAATGAGATTATAGCTGATTTACAACCCAGTGCTTCATACTATGATGCGATTGGGTGGAAAATTAAATCAGGTTCATGCCAAAAGATGAGCTGATTTTTGCTAACACTCAAAGAGAAGATTCATAGAGACAACACATGCACTAGGAAAGAGGATGTATCCAATCACACAATAATCCAACATATTACATGAAGACAGATGGATACAAACAGGGCTCCAGACTGTGACAAAAAAAAAATACAAATTTGAGATTTAATTTTAAAATCTAGTCACCATTGGCAACAGTAGAGAACACTTTATATGCCTACATCCATATTAATTTAATCAAATAACATCTTGTGATGAATCAGGCATCATACTCATCCAGTGAATCATTTAGAGCTGTTACTGAATTCACAGCTGATTCCGTTACAGAACTGCGAGTCATTTTTCAGTTGTGTCTGATTTAAAATTTACTGAGAACTGGGAATGTGTACTTTAGGTTTGTCAGACTTTATATTAGTCAATTTACTGACTTGTTAATATAACAATATAATATATATTCACAACAGAAATTCACTGTAATAAACTAATGCAGACTCCTTACAACAAGGTTTCATTTGTTAATATTAGTTAACATTAACTCATCATGAACAATACTTTTGCAGCATTTATTAATCTTAGTTAATGTTCACCTTATTTTGATAACATATTTGATAACATTAGTTAATGCACTGTGAACTACCATGAACATTTTATTAACTAACACATATTGCTCATTGTTAGTCCATGTTAATGCATTAACTAATGTTAACAAATCAGACCTCGTTGTAATATGTTACCAAAATAATAAATGGTATTCTAAAAACATTTAAATTTACTACTGAATATTATGGGTTATTGTCTAGCACAGTGAAATCCAATTGTAAGGCTGAATTGACAATGTTTGAAAATAACACTGTTGGTATGTTGGATCAACACAACATCTATAGAGCAGTTCTAAAAAATGGCAACTAGCAAAAGCAATTAATCGCCTAAGAGGTTCATTTTAATAGCCAATGTAGATTTTTTAGTGTGCAGTCCTGCACAAATCATATCCTGACACAGAGGGCTGTCTGACCTTGTACAGGTTTTCTCGTTGAGCCGGAGACGCTGCCAATGTAAATCTGCACCAAAAAATAATACAATTACCTTCTTTCATCATCTACAAACATAGACCATCCACAAACACACATGCATGAAAATGCAAATAGTATGAAGTCATACCCTTCATACAATAGCAATTCAGTGCTGTAATTATGTATTTATTGACAATTGCAAACGTATAGCTTAAATTTCAGAAAATTTCAGTATCATATCTGTATAACAGCAGAGGTTAATACACACATGTTCCATTCGAGCAGGCAGTCATACTCACCAGGGAGCTGAGGATTGTGGGTATCTCCACAAAGCCTCTTGGGCCATGGTGTAAAATCAGCGCCTCTTCAAGGTTTTGGCCAATCAGCACCAGCTGTATATATCACCATGGAAGCACTCAAGAAATCTATTCTGAACACAATAAAAAATGATGATTAGAAAATAGATAGCATATGGACATTTTTACTTAATGCATTTTCACTCAGCTAAGGTCAGTGATGTGTGAGTGTGTGTGTATCTTCCGGGACATCTCCTGCTGTGTGTGTAAACAGCATGGGGTGGAAATATGCATCTGGAGCACAATGATAAAAATAACTGTCAGGGTGGAGGCACAAACAGAAACACACACTCAATCTCAAGAGGAATCATCTAACTGGGTAGTAAATGAGAATGAAATGATTTTTCACTGCATGGATCAAAGGGCATTCATGTCTAAACATTAAAACCAAAAATAACTAGGGCTATGTCATTTATCAAGTATTAACACTTTTTATTTGGCCATTAAACTTCCTAAAGAGTTAGAATAGCTTCATAACCCATTACTTGAGTTATATGAGTGATAAGATAAAGGCTTTTAAAAGCTTGAGCATTTCTCATTTAAATGTCAGTAAAAAAAATAAAAATAATAATAAATTATGTAATTATTTAAAATAAAAAATAGATTTCCATGAATCAGTTCAAACATTTCATATAATATAGGTTCAATAGAATGTTTTCCTCCTGTTCATTTAGTGAAAATCAGTGAAAATATTTCCACATAAAAATATTACTTCAAAGGCTCTTACTGAAAAAGTGACTCTTTAGGTAATTTCAGAGCAAATACATGAATAGAATATTAAAAATCTTTTTTGATTACTGAATATCATAAAAAGGCTGAAAAATATTAAGATATTCTGTATAAAAATGACGAGAGGGTTTGTTTTAGTACAGGAGAAAAAAGAGACAGAGATATACAGAGTAAAAGACAGACAGATAAGCACTGAGATTTTGATTCAGTTTGGCATTTTGTATCCATGCATAACCTAGACCAGAAAACAAACAGAAGTAGAGCAGTTCAGTGTGTGTGAGAGAGTGGTGAGCTTTAATTAGAGATGTCTGACTGGTGGCTAACCTCCCTGAGATCCCTCTTTCAGAATCATGCATCGCTCTCTCTCACTCAGGAGGTTGCCACACTTATGACCTTAAAGAAAGGGTGTGTGTGTGTGTGTTTGAGTACATGAATTCAATCTGACCACAGTAATTGACCCTCCGCTAAGTTCTGCACCTCTTGGTTACTGTTGCCAGCTGTAGGCATGCTTTACAAAACTACCCATAAGAATGAAGAGGAGATTTTCATGAACAGTGTGGTTTTCGGTAAAATGTGCTCATAAAGCATTTAGGCTGGAATGAAGTGTGACATTGCAAATTAATTTTTTATCTGCTCAATTTTTTACTACATTAGATCACACAGTAATGTTACTAAACACTTATCACAGTCAAATGAAAAAAGTATCATTAGAAAGTGCTTAAAGGGTTAGTTCACACAAAAATGAAACTTCTGTTATTATTTATTCACCCTAACCCACTTTTAATATTCTTTCATTATTTTGTCTATCCATTTAAACTCCACACAACCAAACACATCAAAAAGTACAAAAATACACTGTAAAAAAAACAATCTATATGAATTGACCTGTTTAAAAACTTTCTGATGAGACATGGTTGCTTTATAGGATGAACAGATTACTATTCATATATAAACATTGATCAACACACATACACAGAGCTTATAAAATGTTTTTTTTTTGTTTTGTTTTTTTGTAGTTTTTGATGCATGACAGTTTTGGTTGCATGGACTTTCAATGGATGGAAAAAATGATAAGAGAATATTAAAAATAGCCTCATTTCCGAAGACGAACGCAAGTGTTTTTGGTTTGGAAGACATGGTTCCATGATAATAGATCATGGTTCCATGGTTAATGATAGAATTTTTATTTTTTGGTGAACTAACCAAAACTGCTTTTCAAATAATAACATTTTTAATTTCTGTTTGATTCTCAGACAAAGCTATGGAATGGCTTCAGAAGACTTGGAACACAGTATATGAGTCATGTTGAATACTTGTATAGTGCCTTTATAGTATTTTTGTCTTTTCAGAGGTTAGCAGTATAAATCACCACCGCTTTTCTTGTATAAAAGAGCAGCTCTGGTATCCTGCTTAACTTTTCATTTTATGCTGGAGAATAAAATAATGACATAAGGCAGATGGTGATGACAATTTTCATTCCGTGTGAACTATTTGTTTCAGAACAATAATGTAATTCACATTCTATAAAATAAAACCTTTCAAAGCTCTATTGTTTGGAAAATGGTTCCCGCTATTGTTCCCTGGAATGTGCGTTACGAAATATTATTGCAGCAACTGACACTTCAGAGAGGACAGAATCCATCCACAGAGAGCTGCAGCCAGATTACACACACTAAACAACAGAATGAAATACACTTCTATAGCTCAGTTCTTTTCCACTGCTAACTTCACTTAAAGAAATGAATTCTGCAGCACTTAGAACAGACAGAGTTTGGTGTCTGGATACAACAGCTATAATCATAACACACACACACCCTCAAATCCACTGGAGTCTTTACGAGGAGCAAACAAGCAGGAATGTGAGGGAAAACTGAAGAATTCTTGGCAAGTCATTTTCAGAAGGCTTTAATTACCCATCTGAGAAAAATACATTGCACTCGTCTTTCATACAGACACACACACACACACACACACATACAAATATACCTGTATCTCTGCAGGTAGAGGTGCTTGTCACATTCAGATGAGGTTCCCACCTGCAAAACAGAGAAACAGACAGTTAGTTTGTGAATTAACAGTGTGTGTGTAACTTTAAGTCAATAGTAATAATAATACCAGACAGAAATGCCAAAGAAAACATCAAGAATCATTTCAATAACTAAATACACAACACAGACACTGACTGACAGTTTTAGCAGCTGAAAATAAAATGCTAAACAAACCACACAGAACATAAGTAAATATGACCTTCTGAATAATCCAACTGTGCAAATCAGAAACAGAGGGCACGGTTCTGTGAAGCACATCCCACTGAGGGCGAGAGAAAGCGAGAGAGATGCTTGTGCTCAAAAACAGGCAGACTGGTTAGATTAAAGGACGTTTATTTAGCTGCAAAAACAGGGAGGAACATGTATAGTCGGAGTTAACTGCTGCTCATAACTGCACATCTCTCTGCCCGTGCCATAAAAGTGCATCCAATCAGTATCATGGAAGAAAACAACAATAAAACGCACATAAACATGCACACAAATACACAGATGAACGCTGGGAAAGAGGCAAGTCAAGATCATATTTCAGAAAGAAGAAATCTTGCACACACACACACACACAAGGCCTTATATCAAAGACTTGCTTTCCAGCACATTGCACTGTGAAAACAGCTGCCAAATGACAAAGATGAAAAGAGGGAGGAAAAGAAAGAGAGATAGTGAGAACGAGTGCAAAAGGCAACAGAGAGGAAAAGAAGAAAGGGAAACCCCACAGCACTATGGGTTTCCATCAACATCTGTATAAACAATCCATGTGCATACTAGAAGCTTTGAGACGCACTTATTAGTTGGTCACAGTTTATGCTTCTTTCAACACGTATACACATTTACTCTACCTGATTTACCTTCTTTCCCCATATATTATTCAAATAAAGATTTCAAACAGGTTTTAGAGCTTAATACCACAGAAGAACGTACAACGAATCTAGAACCAATACACTGATCTGAAGAACTTAGGAAGAAAAACATCAAGAACTGTTTTAAACTGAAAAGAATCATATAGCCAACAAAAGAACCTAGATCTGAGTTCTGAATATGGAGAGGTTTTTTTTGGAAATGCCCCACAAGAAAAGGAAAATCACAAACAAGAACTCTTTAATATGCCAACTACCTCTCCTAGACAGCAATGAGATTAAATGGAAAACAAATGGGGACTTTTGTTTAAGTCTTCTGCTGCTTAGAGAAGAATCAGAATCAGAATCAGAATCAGAATCAGAAGAGCTTTATTACCAAGTATGTTTACACACACAAGGAATTTGACTTGACGACAGGAGCTTCCATTGTAGAAGAAAGTACAAACATAGTGCAGACATACATGATAGTGCAGACATACATAGGAATAACACAGTAGGGATGTAATATAACACTAATATAATAAAAAAGAAAAATTGAATAATGTACTATATACAGAAATAGAAGTATAGGAAAAAAATTAATTATTTAGATAAATGTACAGATATGTTTATTAGTGTGCAGATATGTTATTTACAAAGTGTGCAGTTTAATATAAGTATAACTATGTTAGTTGTGATGGACGATGTATAATTATGAAAGATTAATTGTTCAGACTGAATATAGCCTGTGGGAAAAAACTGTTCTTGTGCCTGGCTGTTCAGTGCTCTGTAGCGCCGACCAGAAGGCAACAGTTCGAAGAGAGAGTGGGCTGGGTGTGAGGGGTCCAAGGTGATTTTTTTAGCCCTTTTCCTCACTCTGGAGATGTAAAGATCTTGGGCGCGCAGAGCTTCACCAGGGTCCCGGCGCGTTTCCCTCTTCTGCGTCTGCATGCGCGTTTGAACAACATAGCTGTACCTCCAACTAGAATGTCCAACAAAACGTCCGAATAATCAAAAACCGGAAAAATATTGTCCGGGATGTGCTGCTTAATGTTAAGGAGTTCGTCTTTGGTAAAACTTATAGAAGAAGAATGACAAAACACAGAACAAACAAACAAAAACAATAGAAGAATCGCGGAGCTCAGCGTCCTGGCTGCCATTTGCGGCGCCATCTTGATCTCTAAGTACTGGAGAAGACTCCAGTAATCCCCAAATGTGAGATTCAGAAGAGATTTCAACAATGTTACAAAAAGATTTGCCAAAATGCTTACTTTTGCAACCAAAAGTCTGAGATTTCAGTATCATATCTCAAACATTTGGTTTTGATCGCTTCTATTGTCCTCATTTGTAAGTTGCTTTGGATAAAAGCGTCTGCTAAATGACTACATTTAAATATAATGTAAATGTAAATAACAAACCTAAATTGAAATGTTAAAACAAGCCCCAAATCAAATAAATAAGTAACACAAATAAAATAAATCTCTTCGTATAAACAAACTAATGCTTTGGCAGTGCTTTTTCCATTTAAAATCAGAGGCAACCACTGCATTTTAATCACGATCCAAACAAAGATGCTAAATACATGTTAACATGTTTTGGAAAGCAGTATCACTTTAGTTTAGGGACCAATTCACACTATTAACTAGTTGCTTATTAGCATACCTATTATTAACATATTGGCTGTTTATTAATACTTATAAAGTACATATTCTGCATGACCATATTTTACATCCCTAATCCTACCCAATACCTGAACTTAACAACTACCTTACTATTAATAAGCAGCAAATTAGACGTTTATTGAGGCAAAAGTTGTAGTTAATGGTTTGTTAATAGTGATAATTGGACCTTAAAATAAAGTGTGACCACATTTTTACAGCATTTATTAATCTTTGTTTATGTTAGTTAATAAAAACACAATTGTTCATCATTTGTTCATGTTAGTTCAAAGTGCATTGACTAACATTAACAGATACAAATTTCAATATCAATAAATGCGGTACTAGAAGTATTGTTCATTGTTAGTTCATTCTAACACAGTGAAATAATATTAACAAATGGAACCTTACTGTAAATTGTGAATCTTTACTCCTACTCTATACCAACAACTCTTTCATGTGGGTCTGTTTTACTTCTATTTTAGGAGACATGTCTGAGACAAAGTTGCAAACGACTATTAAATAACTATTTTTAAGTGCATACTTTTATTGTTTATAAATTAAGTTACTTATAATGACTGTAAG